AGGAAATCCCCATCTGTATTCCTCTCAGAAAGGCTCTTTAGGACGGCACTTCGGCATCAGCATGAATGACTGTCATTTCTGTGGGGAATCGGTTGTGAACTGCAGGCCTAGTGTACAAGGAGACAGAGCACATGTGTACCTTATCCTTACTGGAAATCAGGATCACAGGATTCAGGGAGAGGAAAAGGAATGGTAGCATTAGAATATTTTAATGTTTTAGGGTCAAGGCCATATTTTACTCACTTCAATAACTCCCGCACTCCCAGAGCAGCAGTTGTGTGTGTGGTGTGAAAGCGTGAGGAGGGCAGGAGTGGAGTTTTCTCATGTTTTTAATGTGGCCTTGAGGTGAGGGCTGGGCCAGAACTACAAGGCTCACGTTTCTCATGCTTTTCCCTCACAGTGCTCCTGGCTTTTTCCCCTTCGTCCCTTTCTCCCTCCCTCCTCCCTGTCCCATAACATCACCTTGTCACTGCCTGTCAGGTGGCTGTTAGGACAGCTATGTGGCAAGCCCTTTAAAGTCCTTACACATGCTACTTTCAAATGTTGGTCACTGACTAACACATTCAAAGGATCCTTTCTTCTTGACTCCAAGGCAGTTTGTGGACTTGGAGAAAGTTGGGTTACAATTCTGCCTAAAGTGTTTAGATTTTTCTAGAGGACAGAGAAGAACAGCATTGAGTCTGTCCTAAGCAGCCTCTTTGTCTGGAGGGGGAGACACAGCCAAGGTCTGCAAAGCAATGCCAAACAATATGTCTTTGTAAAAGCGGGCCAGCAGGGGTGTGGTTCACACTGTAAATGCTGTAAGAACTCAGAGGCGAGGGAGCTCAGAGACAGGCTGCACCAGAATATGGGCCTCACAGATGGGACCCGAGACAGAGTTTGTGGGATAGGAGTGCTTTAGGGATGAGGTCTATGGTTGAAGCTCCATCCTGGGGCTGGATGCTGTTGGGGACAGGTTGCAATTCACTAGGGAGGGAGTCCATACTGCTGCCGCCCCAGCTGCTCAGATGCCCAGACTTGTGGGGCAAGGGACGCCCTTGAGTTCTGTCTGGAGAAGGTGACACCACCAGCTGGCTGGGGAAAGAGCTCAGTGAAGTGTCATGCTTGTGAGAATATGAGCTGGGACCAGGGCTGTGCACATGTGTGCTGGGTGGTATTGCTTTACCAAGACAGGTTTTTGTTTTTTTTTTTCTCCTGAGCACATGGGATTTGGACTCATAACTCACTGATGAGAGTGGTGGTTTGTGTCTATAAGCTGCAGAAGGTAGATTCTTCTTTCCCTCTTTTGTTCACAAGCGGTTGTAGCTTTCTTTATCCTGTAACTTTGTGTGAGTATAAAAACAACTCTTTCTTAGCATTTTCTTCCTACTAGCAATTCCACTTTATCTGTCACCCGCTCTCATATATTATGTGGGCATTGGTCACCCAACACTTCATATTTGTGTCAGCAGATGGCTAAAGTACTGAGTGGACAGGCTCTATGGGTAGGTGTCTGGCCTGTGACATCAGGCATTGTTGGGTTACTGACACTGGGGCAGAGGCACACAGATGGGTGAGGCAGTGGCTTCCCTACTGTTCCTCATATTCTGCCAAGATACTCTGCCAAGATGAGGATTCCTCTCAGCCTGTGGGGCTGGAGGGGAAGCAGGCCCAAGTGTTTTTCCTAGTGAGTTAATTTGGGTCCTCTGAGAAGCAGATGCTAGGAAGAGATTCATTGTGCAAAAGATTTATTGGGGGATATTCCATTGCAGAAAAATGGGGAGGAAGACTATGAGTGCTGGGACAGCTGTTGACCTCAGTGTAGCCCCACCCTGTGGAGAGAGGGAAGGAAAGGAGGCTGGTGGGAGAAGGTTTAGACTGCAGGGCAACTCTGAGAAAATTGGGGCAAGGCTAACTGTACATCCTTGAGCCATGAGTAGCCCTTCAGAGGAGTCCCATCTCCCTGTCTTAGTACCCCTTCTCACTCAGCCTTTGGCTGGCCTCGGTGTGGATATAGGCATGGATTCCAGGGCACAGAGGCTGAACCCATGGGCAGCTGCACTCCTTACAGTGGGAGGCCTTATCTGACAAGTGCGTTTTTATGGCCATTCCATCAGGTGACCTCTGACAGCAAGCAGCTGACTTTATTTACTCCAGGGCACCTCTTCTTGAAGGCTGGGACCAGAGCTGGCACAGAGGGGCAGACAGGGCCAGATTTTGAGGCCTTGTATGAATTTAGCCATAGGGTTCCGGGTCTCATAACAGTGAGACATTTATATGTTATCTTAGGTAAGTTATCCTAGTGCCTGTTAACATGGAAACACTAATATTTCAGTGACTTTACAACAGAAATTAACTTTTTGTTCACATAATAGTCCAATGCATATTCTGTTATTATGACAACTACTTGTTTTCCCCATTTGGGAAAATTTGAAAAGTAGAGACTTCATGTTTACTTCTTGTTATGTCATTGAAAACATGTTGCAAAAATGAGTGGTTCACCCTGTGGGAACTTGGAATGGTGTTAATGCAGGTTCTTTCCGTTCAGTCCTCGTGCAGAGGGTGTCTGGTGCTGCGCTTCTTTATCTCCCAGAGTGGAAAGCAGAAGTTCTGGTACCATTCATGGTACCTGCCAAATAACTCTTAGAAAATGAATGTGTCGTGGGCAGAGAGTGTTGGGAAAGTGATTCTTACGCAGGTGCCCTAAAGCACTTGGCAGCGTGTGTAGGTGGTGTGTTTTCCCTTGTCTTTCCTGACTAGTCGTATTGTAGTCACTGACACTGCTCGTGGGAGGCCGCCCACATCCACAGCAGGCCAGACACTCACGGAAGATTATACTCATCCCTCGTTTTCTACTGCTAATAAAGGTTAGAACACAATATTTCTCACTGTTATGGAAAAGTGGGCCAAATACTGAAGTATAACTAAGGTAAAAATATTCTCAAAAGAAATCTGTTTTCATCCTCACCTCTCCCTCTAATTCGTTCTCCACATTGTTGCCCAAGTGATAGTTCTTAAATGAAAATCTGATTGTTTTACTCCACTGCCTAAGATCTTTCAATAGTTCTATATTGCCATTGGGTTAAAACTAAAAACTTATTAGCACAGCAGAGGAGCCTCTTTACGACCTAACCCCTACCTATGGTCTATGGTCTAGAGTTTCTCCCCTGTACTGTCTTTCCCTTCCTCCGTTTTTCTCTTCTTTTCTTCTTACACCATTACTAACTTTCTAAATCTACTGGTTTTTTAAGTCCCTCTGTGTTTATATGTTATCTTAGTTAAGTTATCCTAGTGTCTCTTAACATGGAAACACTAATATTTCAGTGACTTTACAACAGAAATTAACTTTTCGTTCACATAATAGTCCAATGCATATATTCCTGGTTGGTAGATGGCTTTCCCCAACCTGGCATCTCAGGGAAAGTGCCTTTATTTGCTCCTCATCTATCTAATAAATGGGAAGAGAGAATGGACACAACTTCCCTACTTCTTCAGCGCTGTGGCCCAGAAGTGGCACATACCACTTTTGCTTAAATTCCACTGTTGAGAACCCAGCCAGATGCAAGACAGCCAGGAAACACAATCTCTGGCCACATAGCCACTTCTCAGCAGCAATTCTGCACACTGGAGAAAATAAACCCTGGACAGCTTCTAGCTTTGTCCGCTGCTACTCTCATGCTACTACCCACATGTGCAGCCTGAATCCCAGCTTCCCTGATTCAGCTCACCTGGACAAATCCTATGTGACCTTTTAAGATCCATCTGAAGCTTTGCACCATTCAAAAGGCCTTGGAGCATCTCCACTCTATGCTCATATGACGCAGAGTGCTTACCAGCTGTCATAGCACATGTCACATTGTATTACAGTTGTTTGCTTACGTATGGGTCTTTATTTTACAAATTTGAGCTCCCGTAGGACTGGAACTGTATTTTTATTTTAAATTAGTAAATGTCTGGCACAAAATATGCACCCAAGAACATTTTATTAAATGAAAGAAAGGTTACTAGATGAATCGATGGAGAGTGGTAAAACCTCCAACGTTGGATGTTTTAAGTGTGACTTTTATCTTAAAAGAGTAGATTTATGTTAAAACACATACATCATTCTTAATTTTAAATTGAGGAATGTGTAGGCCTTTGATGTTTCTTTGCTGTTATTAATAAATCCATAATGTTAAGGGCATTCATGTGATCAGATTACTAGGAGCATCTGAACAGAGTTTATAAACTTAAAAGTCAAGAGCCATTACTTGGGTTCAACTCTACCAAAAGGAATGTATGTCATTGGAATGCATTTGGCTACAAGTAAACTAAAAATTGATTCAAAATTATTTGAAAAATTAGAAAATATACTATGTCACAAGAGGTCTAGAATTAGTTCCAGGATAGGTTGATCCAGTGGTTCACCTAAGTCATCCAGAACCTGGGTCTGTCTATATATTAGTCTTACCTACCTCAGTATATTTACTGTGTCCTTGGGCTAGATTCCCTCAAGGTCACAAGATATCTGCTAGCAAAAAAATGGGGAAATATACTGCCTTAGTCATGTCCTGAGGGAGAGAACAAGAACACCTCTCCTCCAACCACATAAGTGCTTTCTTTTAGTCTGATGGGGTTATCTTAGATATATGCTGATCTGTTGGCCAGAACTTTCCCCATGGGAATCCCATCTCTGAATTAGATTATGCAGTATCTGTCACAGAGCAAAGGTTTTCTTGAAGCACTTGGGTGGCTGGAAAAGAGGGATAGCTCTTCTCTGTAAAGTATATGGGTCCATTAAGAAGAAAAAAAAAGGAGAATATATGCTGGATATTCAAACAGTGGTGTCCATCACAAATATTTTAACAATACAATCTATTGAACTAGTGTCTATGAAAGAGTGAACAATTCTCTAAAACAGGCAATGACCCAATTTTTTCACCTGCTACTTCTACAAGGTCTAAGTCACATATTTACAAGTGTGCAATAGTGAACATTTTAGACTCTGTTCCTCCAGTGCAATTATTTATTCTTTATTTTAGGCCTCATTATGGGATTAATCTTACGATATGCCACAGCACCAACTGATATTGAAAGTGGAACTGTGTATGATTGTGGGAAACTGGCCTTCAGTCCGTCAACTCTGCTGGTTAATATCACTGACCAGGTTTATGAATATAAATACAAGAGAGAAATAAGCCAGCACAATATCAGTCCTCACCAAGGCAACGCTATGCTTGAAAAGGTAAGGATCCCATCTCATATTTTTTGTTTTCCAGTATAAATAATTGCATTATACATAAGCCACCGTAAGTAATATATTCACATACACATATGCCCTTCTTCAAAAGCACGCTATTGGGGTAATTTGATTGACTAAGAGGTTAACACCTTGATATACTCTTAGTGTGAGCCCAGTTGTCTGTGTTTTTTATATAATTTTTGCAAGTCAGAGTTACATTAGATAAAATGACATAATTCATCTGACTCTGCCTTTCACAGTACTTGATTCAACTTTTCACATGCATGTTTTGAGTATCATTATATACATTACCAGCCAACTACTTCGTTCAAATTTCCCTTAAGTCAAAAGGAAAATGGGGGGAATGAAAAAATTTGCACTTGCAAACCTTGATCTAGGCTGACTGGCTTTTGGCTGTCAATACACAACAGTGCCACTTGGCTGGTTTTAAGTACACTGACAAGAGATTAATCTCAATAGAGATTTACTCCATTAGTTTAGTTATAGAACCTTAGGTAGAAAAAAGGAAAATTCTGATATGACTTATCTTTTAAAATATGGCTTTATTATTGCAAATTTGTGAACTGCCTCAGGTGCTGGAAGGAAAATTTCTTTCTGCTCTTGGGAGTCTGGATCAGAAAACAGGTGCAGTTAGTTATCTTTTGTGGTACATTGTGTGTTATGGATCAGTCTTTGCAGTAAGTGAATGTGTTTAACACTATAAGTCCATGCTAAGAACGAGAATGTCACATGACTCATTCCAGATCCTTTTTAGGTTAGAGTTGAGAACTTCTTTGATAGTATAGAAGTGTATTTTATCACTCTTATCCCACATGGATTTGGTTTCTTTTAATTATACGTTTTTTTTTTCCATTTTGAGATACTTAGAAGTCTGCCATTTTTTCTCATTCAAGATGAGTAATTTTTAGTGGTTTTAAAAATATTATCTTTTACTAACACATGTCTGGATTAACTTCCTCCTACCACTTGGTGAGGGCTCAGGAAAGTCAAACTAAATATAATATTGTCTTAAATTAGACTTAGTTAGGGAAGCAAATTGAAGTACATAAAAAGAAAATGAAATAATGTTTTCTGGGATAAAAAGGAGCAACTTCTAGATGTGCTGTTTTGGGTAATCTCTGCTAGGTGAGTCTCCCTGTTCACACGGATGATAGAAAGTTACCTGTCTTGAAATACACAAATTTTAAACTGACCTTATTAGCATCATTGGACTTTAACAAATGCTCTTCAGTTTTACCTTTGGTTTAGTACCAGGACATAATTATTTCCCTCCTCACTTTCTTACCTGTATTTTTTTTTTCTGCATTTCCAAACAGCACAATTTTGTTCTCTAACAGGATTGCCAACAAACACCAGATCAGAAATTTTGTTTCATTGCTGGGGTCCCCTTGGTTTTTTCACTGGGTAGAGTATGAGTTCTGCACATTAAATGGACCTTGAATGGTTCAAGAATATTTTGAGATTAACTGCTAAATCATGTGACTCATTGAATCACAATTTGAATTTGTTTCTCCAGACATCCAAGTTTGGCAATAGGTGACTCCATACCCAGGGGAATGGGCACCCACTGGTACACTTACTGTGTTAGATGACATTAAGTGGAAAGATCTTGGTTATAAATGGCCCAAGTACATTAGTGCATATTTGCTGCTTACACTTACGTGCTAATGTTTGGGGACTCTAGTTAATCTTTGCAAATAAAAAACCCATAGTCTGTCTTCCTTATGGGATTCTCCACTGCATGCAACTATTCATGTCAATTAATCGGTCATGTCAGAAGCAAAAGGATTCCAAAAAAGAGAATATTCATTGGAAGGCTTATAAGGAGGTATCATGGAGTAACAGGGAAAAAAATTAAAACCAGACAGATCTCCTACATATCCTTAGTAAATTCCTTGAATTTCCTAATCTCCAACTTTTCCTATTTGTAAAGTGGGAAAATTAGAACTACTTTGTAGGATTGTTTCAATGTTTAAATGAGATGATGCATATAAAATGCCTGGCTTCCATAGGGCCCTTTACATTGTGCTGCTGTTGCTCTCTCTACTACTACCCCTGCCATTTCTAAGACCCCTGCCAATCCCACCGCCAGTCAGCACTATCTTGAACATGAATGCTGCCATTACTGCTTCTAGATAATATCTGAATGCTGAATATATGCCAGGGATTAATAAAATGTGTGTTTGTTTTTTAGTTTATTTAAAATCTGTTGGGGAGAGAACACCAATGTATACTATATGCCTATATATAATTTAGTTCTAAACTTTATCATAGGACCATGAGGACTATGAAACTTTACAGATTATTTGTCACAGATAGCTGAGTAAGTTAGGGAGGCTTCTTTCAAGAGGTGGCACTTGAGAAGGGCTTTGAAGGTGGGCATGGTTTGGACAAGCAGTAGGAATTGTGCTCAGAAAGGTCACTGGACAGGATGGATTGCAGGGTGAGGGGTGGGGTGTGGGTTTGTGGATATGAAGGCATCACAGACTGTTTGGATCAACAGAATCTGCTTCACATAGGGCATAGGCACAGTGTGAAAAGAAGAATCTGACTTGAAGGTTTTAGATCTGATGGGAGAATATGAGAATCCTAGGATAGAGGTGAAAGAGGGAAGGAAGATTTGAAGGTAAGGGTATGTGAAAATGAGCCTGGATCTGCCTAGAGGTCATTTGATTTAGAGCAAGGAAGGGACCTGACCTCATTAAGTTGAGCCCCATCGTTTCATAGGTGAGTAATACAATACCTTCAGCACTGAATTGATTTAAGTCACTGGTTCTCAACCATGTCTGCACTTTGGAGTCACTTGAAGAGTTAAAAAATTCTGATGATTTTTCTTTATCCCTGGAGTTTGTGATTTTACTGGTTTAGGGTATGGCCTGATCTTTGGAATTTTTAGAAGATTACCAGGTAATTATGGGCAGACAAGTTTGGGAACTGTTGATTTAGTCTTGTGTGTGTTCGGACAGGACATGGTGAGGACAGGAATGCCACATTCGTGCTCCTTCCCCTCACTGCACTGCCGTGGGTTTTGCTCCAGGACCTTCACTCATGTCATTCATTTTATCTAAAATGGTCTAACTCCTGCTTGTCAGATGTCAGGCTTCTTCTTATCTATTGAATCTTGGCTTTTTTTTTGTTTTTGAAATGTCATTTCTTCAGAGAGGGCTTGCTCCTACAATTCTTTCATATATTGCCTCTGTCTCTCCCTCTCCCTTTTCCCTTTTTCTTTATTTTGTTTACTTAGCACAATCTAAAATTATATATGTGTTTTCTTGCTTATTAATTATTATTCTCCTGTTTACTGTCTAGTAGACAGTAAACTTCACAAAGGCAGGCCATGCCTTTTCATCGACCAATGTATCCTCAAGGCCTATTACAGTGCTCGATGCATAGTTGCTTCTAAATAAGTGAATAAACAGGTTGAGTCTGAAAGCTTGGTAGAGCATATACAGCTAGAATATTTGGACATTATCCTCTTGGAGTTGGGAGAACTGGAGCATCCTAGGTGCTTAATGACTGAAGAAACTAAGGTGTTATCTAAACATAGTTGTGTATTTACAGAAAATAAATGTGTATCTAGAGAAATTACATGGTGGGTCCAGGGTCCTACTACTGGCCAGAGGAAGAACTGGGATGCATAGCCCTTTACCCTGAGTCCTGAGTGGTTTATCATATCCCACACCATTGGGCAGGCTCCCAACTGGCCCTGTGACAGAGAAGGATGGGGTGCCATGGCTGGGGTGTGTGACTCTCACAGTGAGCCAGGTAGAAGGAAATGAGGACCAGAGCTGAAAAGGGAGGAGGATGCTCAGGGCACAAGAAGAGGTCTAGCACAGCAGTCACAGAAGCCACTGGCATGGCGCCGTGGAGTCCTTTTTCTTTGTAGCACAGATTGAAGAGAGCATTTGGCCTTTGTTTCTAAAAGTTACAGGATTGGGGGTTGAGTTTTACTCTCAGGAGGATGTAGTTTAGAGGCCTGCATGAAATTCCAGACTTCAGGATTTGGAGAAGCTAGAATGAATTCCTTTTGGAAGCTTTTTAAGAGTACGTGTATTTCTGGGATGGCGAGGCATTGATGTGCTTAGAAACAGCACTGGGATTGATGGTTCCCTGAATTCCTTCCAACAAGACAGCATAAAATTGGAAAATATGAGGGTTGTTGTTATTTATATAAGCAGCAGTATACTATGCTTTTATACCATGTGTAAACATACAAAAATTTCAGGAAATATCATATACCTAGCTTGTTTTGTTCATGCTCAAAACAGATGAATGTTTAGATAAGAAAAAACATTTTAACTTAAACAGTTGTGAAAACAGTATTTTACTATACGTTATAAGCAGCCAGCTGATGATCTCAAAACAACCTTTTGTGAGAATAAAAATAGATTGTGTTGTTTTATATTTATCCAGGCATTTTTAAAATAATTTGTCAAATCGTTCTGTGGATCCAAAGTGTGCTAAACTAGTTTTAACTGATTGGAACCTATATCCTACTATACAGTGGCTTTACAAACATCAATTGCTTATGTAATATTTAGGAATACTAAATTGTCTACTAAGCTTTTCTGAATTTCATATCAATAGAAAGTTTAAAAACTTGCTTGTGAAGATCAGGTGATAAAACTTTCTCCATCATTCACTCTTTCGATACAAATGAACTGAATGAGCCCTATCAGTTTCAATTCTGAAATAAGGAATGATCTCAAGCAGTATATTAGTAAATCAGGGAAAACACAGCATTTGAGTAAGTGAATAAATACAGTACAAGGCTGGCATCAAAGGAGTGGGTCAAGTACCACAGACACTCAGAAGGACAATATTATATTTTGTTGGGATGATAAGAAATATTTCAAAGAAGGATAACTACTGACTCTGATGGTGGTGATGTGTGTGTGGTGTGGCGGTGAGAGAGCCATTCCAAGCAGACCAGACGGAAAAGCATGACAAGGAGATGGTAAGTAGGGCAGAGAGTATTGTAA